TGTACCAGGACTGTTGTAGCTAATGTTAGCTCTGCTGTCTGTACCAGGACTGTTGTAGTTAATGTTAGCTCTGGTGTCTGTACCAGGATTGTTGTAGCTAATGTTAGCTCTGACGTTTATAACTGGACTGTTGTAGCTAATGTTAGCTAATGTAACACACTCACTCTGACAGGTGTCTGCGGGTGCGAGACTGCTCCGCCCGGTAGGACTGTGCAATGCAGAAGGTGTCTCCCAGGGCAGGTATGCAGGTCTCCAGGTAGAGCTGAGAAGACTGGGTCAGGTATGCCTGCTCGCCAAAGTAGTTGAGATTGAAGAGGGTGGACCCACCCTCCACCTGAGTCTGCACCAGGGTGGGAGGAGTGATCTACAGACAGATCAACCGAGACAACGGTTAGAGTTTCCATGCTTCCATCTTCTGCTGCTACAGACAAGTCATTTCCTCATTTACTGATGCTAAGCCTCATTGGCCATCAGTAAAAGAAGAAAGTGACATTATTTGTATTTGTGCATTGAATTCGGACATTTGAGATAACATTGTACGACAGTATATGGATATTAGATTCTCTACTTGTTTGTGAGTATGGGCATCATGACAACATTGTGATGGGCATTACCTCGTAGTATCCGTGGTTGAAAAAGTGGTCCCTGAAGCACTGTGTGACAGTGGATCGCACTCGCAGAATCTTGGAGACGTTCTCTCCTCTGATCATCATGTGTCGGTTGTTCAGCTGGACGTCCACATCGGATTCTTCGTTCAGCAGATTGTCTGCACCGCCCGCCGGAGCCAAGCCGATCAACTCCCAGTAGTCACAATGCAGCTCATGGCCACCGGGGGCCTGGAGAGAAGCCAAGAAAGAAGCGGTGGATGACCTTCATAATAACAGGTTCACAAATGTCAGATTAAGGTTTTTGGGGGGGTTTATAACAACATTAAGTCCATTACGATTCCACCTCCAAAACTGTTTTTTTTTTCTCCAAAAAAAAAAAGTCAGGCAGAATTTACAATCTGAAGTTAATTTCCATTACGATTCCACCTCCAAAACTGTTCTTAGTCAGGTAGAATTTACAATCTGAAGTTCTGCAGACTTTGGTGCAGGAGACAAGCTTGAACATAGTTCAGTCAGACTCAGTGTGTCAATTTAATTCCTGTCATTTCTTTTGTAGATGTGCAGGTTCTGCAGGTGTGCCTTTACCTGTTTCCCCTCAAGGACTGGAGTCACAGTGCCATACAGAGCCACTGTGCTCTCTGTGGACAAGATCAAGAGGACCTACAACAAAAGGGGGGGAAAAAAAAAAAAAAAAAAAGATAAGAAAAAATGTGTCTTAGAAAATAAAAACATTAGTTTGTGTTTGCTAAACTGCTTTCCACCTTTGCAGGAGTGAAGCAGGTTTCAGATGTTACGGCTATTGCATAACTCTAATATGCACTGTGTATAAACATGAACACTTTATCAAACAAAAAGACAGTTCTTTGGACAGTTCTCACCAGTTTATCAGACAGAACACTCTGGAGGAAACCGGTCCCATCTCTCAGCACGATAAACATCAGGTTTTTCCCTGTAAGATTTAAAAGGGGCGGAGAAAAAAAAATATGCTAATTAAATTGAAATCAAATTCTTCCTTTTCACTTTTCAAAAGTTCTATCAATAAAAATGCCTGGTGTTCATCTGCAGGTGCTCTGCTCCTCACCCTGCCTCCTGAGACGGTGCACCCATCCAAACACTTTGACCCTTTGACCTCTCTTAGACTCCAGTTGATGGATTTTAACCTGAGAGACACACAAACAAACGTCATCTACAAATCCTACAAACCCTTATTTGTCACACAAACAAACGTCATCTACAAATCCAAACCCTTATTTGCTTTGTTTATCAATGGATTTCTGTTGTGGAGTTGTGAAGTCTTGGGCCTGATTCTGATAACTTCATTGAAACACTTAAAGTCAAACTCAAAAACATGTGCAGATCAAGTGATCTATTAACAATCCATAAAGGAATTCCATCACAACCAGATGAGTTATTAGTGAGACCAAGACTGACTGTTTCAGGCTCTGGTAGACTTGGGTCTTTCTCTATGATGATGTTCTTTGCTTCTTCCAGGTTCTTCTCTCTCCTCTCATTGTCCTCTGCCTACAGTGTGAACATTGAGGCAGATGTTTGACAATTATGGTTCTGGCTTTAGTTTTTGGACACAGAAATTAACAGGGATTGAGTACAAAAAAAATTACCTCCTTCTTTTCTTTGGCACCACTTTTCATCTGCTCGCGGTTGAAGGCCTTTTTTGCATTTTTCATCTGTGTCTTAGAGATCACTGCCCAACGCTGGTGACGGGGCAATAAAACCACAGTGAGTAAAGAATAACTGTTGAGTTACTCAGCTTCATCTCTAACGTGCAAATATGGTGGATTTGCATCCCTTTTTTTTTTTATTCGTCAAATTTGAGTGTACTGGTTTGAGCAGTAAAAATTCAAAAAGGAAACGAACCTCATCCTCCTTTTGGGAGTCAACGTAAATGGTGGGAAACGGTTCTTTACCAACAAACAGGAGAGCCTGTAAGGCACAAGCATATTGAAATGAATTCATTCAAGTTTTACGCATAACATTACAATTATATGAACATAGAATGTGGAACTGTGAGACATACTTTAAGAGGAGTCTTGAAGGGTTTTTGTTCCGTTCCATCGCCGTCACTGTCACTGCCACATTTGTCTGAGACATATACCTCACCTGGGAAACAAAAGGATGTTTACTCACTTGAACCAATAGGCATATATATATATATATATATACACATATATCTATATACATATATATATATATATAAATTTATATAAATACACATATATCTAGATACATATATATACATATTTATATATACGTATATACATATACATATATACACATATATACACATATATCTACATACATATATATATATAAATATATATATACATATATATATAAATATATATATACACATATATCTAGATAGATATATATATACATATTTATATATACGTATATACATATACATATATACACATATATACACATATATCTACATACATATATATATATAAATATATATATACATATATATATAAATATATATATACACATATATCTAGATAGATATATATATACATATTTATATATACGTATATACATATACATATATACACATATATTTACATATACATATATTATATATATATGCAGGTTAACATAAATGTATTTATAAGTCTTGTATTGTTGAGTTTTATTTCACATTACTTTCTCTTTCGATTTTTTTGAAGAAAAAGCAACTCAACCAATAGAAGTAATAAAGTACTATCTATCTCTCTCTGTGCCGTGGTGTGCTGTGTCGCAATGACAAGTAGTTCACTTTCCTTATTAGAAGCATAACAAAAGCAGGAATTGCTTTCAATTTACTTGATAATAAGATACACAGTCACCAACCCCTGGATGCCTTCCAGTATCTCTACACCATTATACTTAAACGTCTATGTTCTACAATGAGGCTGGTGCTCTGTAGGCTCTATGTCTTCCTCTTTCATATCCAACATTATGTATGACTGTTGGGTTCTGCAATCAGTCAGGACTGTTACCTCTGTTACCTCTGCTGTTTGGGATAAGTCGAGTGACGCATAAAAACGAAATCAAATCAGAATTTCCTACAGATAACAGGCCACTAATGCACCCCCTTTTGGCTGAGCAACATGCAACCCACAATGCATTACCTGTGTCCCTATAAGTTTTAGCACTTCACTAAACATGGCCCTCTCACAGCAGAATATTAATGAAAACAGAATAAATATTTTTTAACTAAAAAAGGAAGGTCTCCTGGGTCGCTGTAATAGTTCGGTTACAACATCAAAGAAGTAAAAACGTTAAAGGAGAAGGGTTACAACATCAAAGAAGTAAAAACGTGACAGAAGAACAGACGTTGGTCGGGGGCAATTGAATGACTGACGCAGAAGCTAAGGTTCCCTTCATTACAGGCTAAGAGACATGTTAGCCTGCACCTGGATAAGCTTACACTCCTAAAACAAAAATGACCACCAACAGCGCACTAACGTACACCAGAAAGATGAATTAGATCATAACAACACAAAGCGTTTGCTACGTGCGGACTGCTAACACCAATAGGACTGGTGCGGTGCGTTAAACACATGTATGTGGAAGCTAACAAACTAGCTTTGACTACAACTGCAGTTTTCTTACCAACAGAAATTTGCTCCACACCTTTCGTTACCTCCGTAGCCATGTCAATCGCGGTTCTTTTCCAGAGATGAGCAAAATCAAATTATCGTTCTTTTTGACTTATATCTTCGTGGAAATGTCTGAACCCAAGCCTGGAAGCGACAGCTGCTGCCGGTGTCTCCTCACCTACCCAAATGCAAGTTTACGTCAGCCGAGCAGCGGACGAAACCGAAGAGTACCGGAACTTCCCGAGGAACCAGGAGGAGTAGCTACGGCATCGTTCCCTAGTGTTGATTGGCCAATACAGACATGTCACTTTGTATATTTCATATTCTATTGGTTGAGTTGCTTTTTCTTCAACAAAAGGGTTAAGCAGGAAATGGAATGCGAGAAGAAATCGGAAGATTAAGTAATGTGAAATAAAACTCAACAGTACAAGACTTAAATAAATACATTTATGTTAACCTGCAATAATAATATTGAGCACATGAACACACATATCTCTTTTATATTTATATTTATATATGAACCCAACTTAGAAGCAATTGTTTTCTGCGACCTAATTTTTTTTTCGTGAACCACGTGGTATAATACAAAACAAAAGTAAATGATAAGATACATATTCATTCTTAGGATTTCTTTAAAATGTTACACACAGCAGCAGAACAAACACAAAGTGTAATATTTGTATGACACAATTCTATGACATATATGTAAAATTAGAGTTGGCGATATTTTGACCACGCGTCAAAGCCACATCAAAAGTACACCTCAGATATTTATATTACACAGGTGCAACGTCTGAAGAGCAGGTCATTACACTTGTGTAAATTCAAAAGTACAGCACGTTTATTTCTTACAAATATGTACAGTAAAAAGAAGTACAGTTCTTTTCTCTTTTATTTAATACTGCTCATACAGTATGTATAATAAGGTGTATGTGTTATGTATTTTTTACTTCACATATTTGAAATAGTGATATCTCAATTTGTTTTTTACTTCCTGTAATAAGGAGTAGCTCTGCAATATATTTTATTTTGCATATTTGTAATGAGATGTAGCTCTGATATACCTTTTACTTCATATATTTGTTGTATTTCTCAGCTGTACTTTTCACTTCATATAATAAGTAGCACTTCTGTACTTTCACAATAAAAAAGGGAACAGACAGCACTTCTGTACTTTCACAATAAAAAAAAAAGGAACAAGTCACGCTGTTCTTTCCTACTGTGTATGTTGTATAGTGCATAACATTTTTTGTGGTGCACCCCAATTCCTGCACCTTACGGACATTTCACAAAATTATACTGCGAGAAAAGAATTCGGAATTCTCCTTGAAAAACCTACTTCTACGTTCACTTGAACCCGTTTGTCCCACAAAGAGTGGACGTGACACACGTGCCTTTGAAAAAGGATCATCTTTTATTTACAGTGTTTTTCATCAGAATTACAATACAAAGCATTTGTAGGTTCAGACTCCACAGACAGAAGAACCCACTCAGAGCTGGAGGAGGCTGGGTGGAAGAGTGTGTGTGTGTGTCAATGTGTGTATGTGTGTGAGTCTGTGTATGGCAGCTTTGACAGACTGAAAGTCTTTGGATGAACATTTTCCTGTTCCTACTCCTCCTCTTCTTCGTCTTCTTCAACCTGCTGTTCAGTGACTTTCTCCTTTCTTTCCACCGACCTGCAGGGAAAAAATATTAATTAAAATGAATCCTTCCCATGTCCAACACACACAGACACTTGTTTTTGTGTTTAGTGAGCATTACACATAGACATAATACATTCACATACCCGTTACCCAAAACCCTAGTCTAACATACCATAAGATTTCTTCAGTTAAGACAGTGCTTCTCAATTACTTTCTGTCGCCCCCCACCCCCCGACCACACCCCCACAAATTGAAATACTATTGAGAACCTGATAACATGTATATTTTTATCTGTACAAACAAGTCATTTGTGTGACCTGCGAGAGCTTAAAACAACGTTTAATTGCCTTATAATAAAGTCCATGAGTTTCTTAACTTGATAATTATTCTTATTACACAAAGCAATGTAAAATATTTGTAACTTAAATAAATAATCAATCAATTGCATAAAAAGTCTGAGAAAGTGTTGCTTTTTAAATATTTATAGAAAAGATTTATAGAGAAAAAAACAGAGAAAAATATAAATAGAAAAAAATATGAATTATTTTTTTATTTTTCAAATCTGTTTAAATTCTCTATTTTTTACCAAAAGCTCAGGTCACTCTTTTTTTCTTCTTCTTTATTCCATCTTATTTGTATTAATATATTGTCTTATGTGATGCCAGTGTCAGTTTTTATGACTTCTTGTTTGATACAGAAATATTTGTTTCCTTTTGGATTGAAATATTTTGCTGGTAACAAGAGGAAGATAAAACAGGCTGAAGGTATTTTGCCAGTAGAACTCATGTTGGGTCAGGGCAATCCGATGGAATATGGCAGGTATGTGGACATAAGTGCACCACTGCTGTAATGCTTGAATGATAACAAGCCTCCAGCCACTAGGTGGCAGCAACTCATACAGTGGTTTGTACAGATAAAAAATATACATGTTATCAGGTTCTCAATAGTATTTCAATTTATGGGCGTGCGGGTCGGAGGGGGGCGTAAAAACATTTCTGTTCCCAAGGGGGCGCATAACTCTATCACCCAAAGAGCTGTGCAGGTAGCACATCTCTGTGGGTATCTGTTATGGGAACAACCAAAGTTCGTACCCGTTTGAAGTCGTTCATGTTGGTGGCCTGTACTGGTGTGCCTATAAATGTCAGGTACTTGATTTTTGTTGTCTCCTCATCTCCTTGATTTGATTTGACAAACAACTGGTTGAAAAAAAAAAAGAAAGAACATGACATGTAACCATATGTAAACACACTGTTGGTCAACAACAGCAAATGTTTTTTTTTTCATGTATTTACCGTAACGCTCTGTACGTTCTGAAACTTGACGTATCGCAGCGGGATCAAACCGTCCTCTTTGTAGTCCTCCTCCGACAGGTCCAGCATCTGCACAGGTTCACTTCGCTCGGCATCGTCGAAGCCCATCGACCGCAGGAGATTGGTGAATATCTTCACCACTTTTGGAGCTTGGGCTAACACGGAGGAGAAGGAGGAGAAGCAGTTTAATCAACTCAAGTCAATCGACAGTTTTCACATTACGTTAAAAATGATCACCATCACGTTCCATGTTAAAGCATCCGATTCAGATTTTGAAATAATGAATTGCGCTGAGAGACAATATTGGAGGTTTTCAAAGTGGATCCCTGAATATTGGCTCATACTCACTAAGGTCCGAGGACAGGAGCTTCATGGAGAACAGTTTCACTGGTTGATTGAAGGCGATGGTTATCAACAACTAAAGTTGAAGAGAGAAAAACACCGTGTTAGATCAGTGGTTCCCAAATGACCTCTGAGATTTTGCGTCCTTCTCTAACTCTCTACATATACTGTATGTCTCAATGCTGTTTACCAATGTTTTCCTAGCTTGAATTCTAAAGTTCTATTGCTTACAATATCAAAAAAAAATAAACAAGGGCAGGTGCATGAAGTTCGTACCCATCCCTAGACTTCCCTGTTGTAATGCCATGAAATGAGCACACAACAATGAAGTGCTGAAGTTATCACCTTCTGAAAAGGCAAGTTGCCTTTCTTGATTTCCTAAAAAGAATCATTGGTAAAATGTTGCAAAACTGAAACTCGCTGGTACAATCGCCAGAAGTTCTGACCGGAAGTACTGGCCCACACATTCAAATCTGAATGACACGACATCATGCATGGTGCCAATTGCTCTGTGGTTCTCAATAATTTTCTGTCTTAGTGACAGAAATGTTTTTACGCCCCCACCAACCAACACACTTGCGAATTGAAAAACTTATTGAGAACCTGATAACATGTATATTCTTATCTGTACAAACCACTGTATGAGTTGCTGCCACCTAGTGACTGGAGGCTTGTTATCATTCAAGCATTACAGCGGTGGTACACTTATGTCCATATGTGTGCCATATTCCATTGGAAGTCCCTAATGCCCCCCGGCACCTCACCATGCCCCACTATTTGTAAAGTACTGCTTTAAACTGAGGCTCAGTGTCATACCTGCTCATCACAGTCAGACTCTAGATAGGACGAGTCTTTGCTCAGGCAGTTATCAAACCCGCAGTCATCGCTCTCGTTCATGCACTCACAGCCGCTTTTGTTGACAAAAGGCATGAGGTCCATCTAAAACAAAAACCAAAAATTAATTAAAAAACCCAATAACTTCTGTGCAAAAACCAAAAATTAATTTAAAAAAAACCAATAACTTCTGTGTGTAATTGCAGAACTTTTTGGCATTCGGATATCTTTCTCTTTCCACTCACATATCCCTTTGGGATGTCAGAATCTTCGTTTCCAGCGTCGTTTTCCGTGTGCTGTTTGATCTTCTCCTCCAGACCTGCAGCGTCTGCTCCTTGATAATGATCCACCCGGACTCTGTTCCTGAAGAACAAGAACGTCGGCGTGGCTGAGATGTTGTTGGCTGCTGCTGTCGCCTGTGACAACAAGACAAGGATTTTTGGAAAAATGTTTCTTGTTGGATTTAGATGATAAGGTCAAAATGACCCACTGGTTCTTCAGTGAACGTGAGTGTGAAGCATGTCTTTTTGGGCTGTAACCTTTACTAAAATGATCTTAGAACATTCTCCAATTTAGTCCATGGAGACAATCAGCACTTTTATCTTGCAAAAACACAGGAGTCTGTCTTATCTCACCGCCTTATCTCGGTGTGATAAAACAAAAGAAAACTCTGAAACACTTTTGTCACAGAATCCCACTCTTGATTTAAGACAAAAATGACTTTAAACGTCATGTGTATTCTGGTTTGAAAATGGTAATGTTCTATATGGACCTTGGTCTGTGGAGTTTTTGAAGGCCATATAGCTCTGTGTCATTGCATTCATCAACTTAAAGACAATGTGCTTTTTTTTTTTCTACAAGGTCTGATTTCCAAATAAAGCTAAAAGAGAAGTCAGTTCTGGTTTCCTCAAACGTACCTGACACACATGAACGTCTACTTCAAGGAAAATGGCCTGTGGATACTTGTTACTTAACATGTGGAATGCTGGACCAATTGTGACACAGGGTCGACACCTGAGGGGCGGAGGAAAGAAAATTAGCGATAATTTCTGGGAGTCAATTAATTTCCTTATTGAACAGGTTAAATTCTTCAATATGTACCATTAACAAAAAAATGTACTGTAGTGTCTTTAATTACAGAAACTGTGTTTAATTAAAAAGAAACTCTGATCACATCAAATTTTAGCATTTCAGTACAGACTTTTACATTTCACAACAATCAGGATTTTTCTAATAGCAGCCTACAGTGCTCCCTGGTGGCCTCACTGTGTATTGAAGACAAGACTACATTATATTATATTATATTGGAGTTTCTTTTTCTATTTTTAATGGAGGAAAAACACAATGGTTAACTGTTTAACACTGTGGAAAACTCTAGGCAAAAAGGTCAAGGGTGTGGGAGGGATGGAGATTATCTCACATATGTAGACCAATTATTGTCATTGTTAAGAATCATTTAACCAAGACCTTTTTAGGTCATTAAACCCATTTTGGAATTATTTAGGAAGTGTTTTAATGATGTGGCCTGGAAATCAAATTAGGGAATAATTCAAGTTTTGTTTTGAAACTAGCCGTGCATTTTTCTTAATTAAAAAACTGCAACCACAGACAGATCAGGCATCGTCTCAATATTGACCAATATGATGCAACCAATAACTGTACACACAGTTAAACTTGATACTACATGAGTGGTTACTATAATTGAAGCTCACACTTAACACAAAAAGACCAGATTTGCAGTAGAGCTATTGGTAATGTTTACTTTTTTGATAGCAGGCCATGACATTTGTTAGAATTGTGTAGAGTAGCTTGTCCTAATAATAGGTTGAGCTGCTGTAGGGCAAATGTGTCGTGCGTTCTTGGCCCTTACAGCTCCGACAAAGTGCCATAGGTGTAGAGCTCAACAAAATATCAGGTGTTCAATTTTCATTGCCAATCTGTAGCATGGTTACCCCTGCCTGGAACACAGCTTTCATGGGGTTACAAAATCACCCATTATATGGCCCACAACATTACTCTGACAACAACAGTGTTATGTAGGGGTAAGAGTGGGAGCTACATGTTTTTGTTTGCAAACAACCACACAAACCCCAGGCATGCTCTCCCCTTATACAGGCTTCTCCCATAAATAAGTAGTGTGACTTGAGATTCAAAGCATAATAAGTCGAACGTCTTTCTGTGTGGAAGTTACCACAGACTGACACGCACTTTATATTTCATTTAGTAGTGCACCATTGAATGTAACCACACCTTTACAGCCCAGACATCTGTAATACTGCTAAGTCATTGTAAGCTCTGAAGCTAAAGTTAGCATGCTAACCAAACTCACTGTACGGTCGCGAAGGTAATACATTGAAGTGACTTGTACCAGCCCACATGCAACCGTGAAAACAACACCCAAACCCGTGTATATTTCCTTTTTCTACATCAGGAAAACGGACCCCAGCGGCCTCCATAGCGGTGCAGTGATCTTACCCGGCCATTGTGAACTTCACTACGGCGAGCCGGGGGCCGGCGGCCGCTAGCTCCGGCTGGAAGTCCGGGTCGCTCTCGATTACTTTGACGCCTACCATAGTAACAATTCCCCGGTTCTGGTGTGAACAACGTTTTGTTTTTTTAGCGTTCTATCAAATTGATAGCTCTTGATAGCTCCGCGATACTCTGAATGCACACACTACACGGCAGCGATCTCTGAGTTGCTTACGGATGTAGATTCTGATTGGTCTACAGATAACCGGAAGTTGAGGAGTAAGTTCTTCCTCGTCAAGGGATGAATTGGCAGAGTCAACGTGTTTTGTGCTCTACACTGCATAGACCTTGACAGTTTGTGAAATTGTAGTAGGATGTTTTATAGGGAGCCGTTTGTTGAAAATAATAGCAACATTTTGGCACATTTAGCTTAAAACAATGTTTGAAAAAGTGAGGTGAATCTTTGAAGGTAACTTTTTAAACATTTATAGTTAAAGCTAAATATTAAATGTAAAATAGAAATGCTACATATAAATCTAAATATAAATGTTTAATCTTAATATAAATTCTGTTCTTGTGTACATGATGTACAATGACAACAAAGCCAATCTAAACAAATTACACGTCAACATTTGCTCGAAGATTAATCTAAACAAATTACACGTCAACATTTTGCTCGAAGATTTCCAGATTCCATTGTCCCAGTGACGTATGGTGAGGTTCATGGCTGGTGAGGCACTGACTCCTCTGGAGTCAGATTTACAATTGTAAGGAAAACGTTGGAAAATATTCATTAAGATTATTTGCCACCATTGTAATTCCCATCTGTTCAATCTAAGAAGTAAGAAACAGTTTGTGATATTGAAGAATCTCTGGAATTAAAAATGTTTACTTGCTCTATTGCAGATGTAGGCTGATAAGAAATGACACTAATCACTATTAAAACGTTGGCCCTTAATTTACCATCTCACTATTTAAAGATAATAAAGACACTGACTTCAGACTGGTAAATGTGCCCTCGTCTTTTATTAACCACATTTTAAAAACACCATTGCATAATAAAGACGTGAACCAGCTGCTGGTACAGCAACAGCAGTCGCCATCACCTACTGCCTCCATTCATTCAGTAATAAAATGACATCATCTGCACAGAGTAACATGAGAATAGAAACAGATCAGAAATACATCACTTTGGCAGTTCTGTTTAATTGGAAATCAGTTGGGAGTTCAATGTAACACCGGTGACCTATCAGGAACTGACCTATCAGGAACTGACCTATCAGGAACGTGTGTTTAAAAGATGTAAAACGGATGTCATCGTAAGAATAATCCAAGAATGCACTGTGGTGGTTTTCAAGTTTAGAAAAAAGAAAACTTTGAATTAAAACGACATGAACGCTGTCGTGAAAAGAACCACATCAAAGCCCTACTGTTCACATACTGCACCTTAGGAAGAGTGGAGAATGCACCGATTTTAAAACTTAAGAGTTCATCTCGTTAAGGACACTTACTTGACAGAGGAAAAAAAAAAAAGACTATTCACAATTTATTATTTAAATTAAGACACACATTTTAACATCTGTATAACCTGGCACAGTAAGATCCCACCATTAAAATGAAACATAATAAAAGAAAGACCACAAATGACCATGATTCGTTTTAGCCCGTTTGTTGTTAACGTGAAGGAACGGCTTTAACAGTAAAACCAAAATTGAAAAGATGTAATGGACAAAATTTAAGGGAACATCATCATATCAAGTGCTGTGACATCAGGCTAAAACTGTCATTGTCATACTGCATCTCTGCATTTGGACAACATGACTATAAAAATACAAAGCTTTCATCCTTAAAAAAAAACCAAACCTGAGTTAAACAACATTGTCAGTCACACAGTTGAACCGCATGACGTCACACCACATTAACAGCGGCCATCTCTTCGGTGAGTTTTTGGGGGGTTTTTAAAGATTTTTTTTTTGTTGCATTTCAGCAAATTGTTTGTGCATAAACAACGGAGGGTGAGGAAGTGGAGTCAAGTCTTGGATCGGAGCAAAACCCATTCAGAGGACGCTTTCCTTTCTTTTTGTGCAAATCAGGGTGGACAGACTCTTGGTCAAAAATCTTTGTCTCATCACCTCATAGAATTTTCAGTCTCCAAACGAGGTCGTGTGATGTTTATCATTTCAGCAGCAAAGTTATGCTTCTGTTTTCCCTCCTTCTTCCCTGCATCTCAGATGTTTTCAGCTTCTCTTTGTGAAACCTCTCTGATGCTATCCTGGGCTCCACCTCGGGTCGGCGGGCGCCGACGTATGCTGCGCCCAGAGGCGAGGAGGTCAGCGTAGCCTCGAGAGTGAGAGAAGGCATAGGCGGAGCGCCGGGATCGCCGGCCACGTTGGAACGCTGAAGTTTTTGTTCTCCTCTCCTCCTCCTCCAACTCCTTCTCGTACTTCTTCCTGTTTCTCTGGACCTGGTGTATGATGTGAAATATGTGTTCAAAATCAATTGGGGAAAAAGTGATTCTCAAAGGAAAAACTGGATCATAGAAGACTCGGAGATCTCACCTTGTCTCCATCAGAGGGCCAGATGGTTTTATACAGGAACTGGATGCAGATAACGGGCAGGAGGCTGATTCCCACAGTCAGGATGATGGTTAACCAAAGGTAAGGCTGACGTAGAGCATTCGAGGCCACGCCTACAAATACAAACATTTTTATGTTTGTAAAATATGAACACAGAAAAGAGCAGCAATAAAATGTTACAGTGGACTCCTGAGATACGAGTCTAATGCATTCCACAAGAGCGTATCTGGATCAAATGTCTTCATTAAAAATAACTAAAACCCAATTCATATGTTGCAGACCCCCAGAAACACACACTTGCAACAACATATTCGTCCGAGCTGCTCGCCAACGCTGGAATGATGTAACAAGACTTTCGTAATAAATTTACAGTGGACTCCTGAGATACGAGTCTAATCCATTCCACAAGAGCGTATCTGGATCACATTTCTTCATTAAAAATAACTAAAAACCAATTCATATGTTGCAGAGCCCCAGAAACACTGGGATGACGTAACAAGACTTTCGTAATAAATTTGTGGTAAAAGGCGACACAACCACAAACGTAAACCAAGGACCTCCTCTACAAGTATTTCCAAAGTTTTTTTTTTGTTTGGAATATGTTAAAATGTTCCTAATATTAATATTGTTTTACTCCTGTGCTGCAATGGTTGCTTCCCATGTGACTTCCCATTTTGGTATTGAAAACATCCATTCATCCCTCTGCTGCGGCTACGTTAATTTTTTAAACTGTAATTCTAATTGGAGAATTGTGGTGCTGTCATAAAACCATAAATCGGATTTTATTTTGCAAATTTATATTTTACATTAGTCAATGCTATAGTGCTTTTTTTTTTTCATATCAACGGCGACCGCACGCCCCAGTACACATGATTGAAGGATGACAGCGCACAGTTAAAGAAAGCTATTTTTGGTTCACTGCAGGTGGATAATTTAAGTTCTGCTTTGACCATTACCCCAGCATCTTATTTAATGACTAAATAAAATTTAGTTTTTTTTCTGCAGCAGGCTATTGAATTTTGATAATGCAACACACTATAGTTTTTTCAATATATGCTATAAAAAAACTATATATGCTGTGTTATCATTTTAGATGTCACAAGGGATTTGTGGCTCCCAGCGATTGCTTTTCTGCGGGTAATGAGTCCAAATGGCTCTTGGAGTGTTTAGGGAGACCGACCCCTGTCCTATACTGTACATCATACGTGTCAAACTCAAGGACCGGGGGCCAAATGCGGCCCGCCAAGCCCTTTTGTGTGGCCCGCGGGAGCTTAAAAAGCATTTAATAAAGTCCATGCAGCAGAGTTTCTTATCCTGATTACTCTTTTAGACTCTATTCTGCTTGTGTCTAAATGACGGACATATTATTTTAAAATATTGTCAGATTATCTTTAAATAAAGAAAGTAAATGAATATGACAGGATTTTAGTTTGAATGAAGTCAATTTGTAAAAATTAAGCACATTTTTTCAGTGTGTCCCACTGTTGCCCGGTACCAAATGACCTATGGACCGGTACTGGTCTGCGGACCGGGGGTTGGGGACCCCTGATCTATACAGTCTTCCATTTATAACCAGCCCTTCAAGGGGAACTGTTTTGCTGATGTGGCTCCCGGTGAAAATTAGTTTGACACCCCTGCTGTCTATCACGTGAACTGTTGGTGAACTGACCGGTAAAGGTGAACATGGAGGGGAAGAGAAAGTGAATCCCAGCACTGTGGAGGTCAAACACGATTCCAAAGTAGATGGCGATGCTGCCCAAGACTGCAAAGCAATTGACAAAGGTCCAGTAGGCGGTGTCCAGAGAAATCTGTCCAACAACAAGTGGGGAGGTTAGTAAGAAAGTGAATTCACGACACCCATATCTGAATGTGTCTCAGAGTGCGTTTACTAACCTGCAAGTTGACAGTGAAAATGAGCGAGGAGGCGGTGACGACAGCGAAGGACTGGTAGTCGGACGGCGCTTCTCCATCCTGTCCCATGGTCTGCAGGAAGGCCCCGTACGGGATGAAGAAGATGATGAGAGAGACGAAGATGCCGTGGAACAAGCTGACGAAGAAGTTCTTGTAGTTGAACATCCTCCTCTCTTGACCAGGCAGGTAGAGCCTTGGGAACTTGAGGCTGAGTTTGTCATTAACATCCTGCAGTAGGGAATCAAAACTGGATCAGCTCAAAAGACTCCTGGATTTGTTTTGTTTTTCTTATTGTGACTTTACATAGAAGCTAAAGTGAGTTTTGTGACACTGTAAACTGCTGGCCCTCCACCCCAAAGAAAGAAAAACAACTTTTCTATTATAAATTAGGTCTGTGTGCTCCAACCTTTTTTGGATTGTGACCCCGTTTTGACATCACAATGTCTGGAGTCCAGAAACATTTTTTTTTCTAGAACTATTTCTTGATCATGCTGGTGTTACTGTGTTGCAAATACAGCGTAACCAAAATCGTGTACAGCCGTCAATTAAGATGCACCAGCTCTGATAATTTTAAATATGCTGCATTTCATTTTAATTCAATTTATATTAGTGGTTCTTAATTATTTTCTGACAAGCCACATCCCTGCGAATTAAAATACTATCGAGAACCTGATAACATGTATATTTTTATCTGTACAAACCACTGTATGAGTTGCTGCCACTTAGTGACTGGAGGCTTGTTGGATGTGAAGCTTGGGATGAGAGGGTGGGGCGTGAAAACATTTCTGTCCCCAAGGGGGGGGGGCATGAGAGAAAATAATTAAGAACTGATATAAAAAAAACGTATTTGTCGAAGAACCTTGGTGTAGAGGAGGGAGGAGGAGTCCTTCAAAGAGAAAAACTTGAGTTGTCAATGAACACAGTCTTGGTATTTTAGAGAGATTTTTTTTAACCTGATCAAGAAGTCCAACAAGCAGAACAGGCAAACTGCTGTAGCACAGATTGTAGAGTGTGATGAACCAATCTTCATAGCCGATCTGCGGACAGAATAACAGAGTCTTGACTTTATGTACATACACTTTAAATCAAATTCTGAAAGAAAGTTTCAACAAAATGCTGGATTATAAAGAAAAAGGAATTTGGCCAAAAAAAAAAACCAAAAAACTTTTCCTGCTTCTCACCTGTGATGAGTAACCGCTGAAGAAGGAGTACCAGAAGTGGATCAGAGTAAAGGAGAAGTTCTTGAAGAAGAAGAAACGGAGGAACTTGCACATTCGGATGTAAGACCAGCGTCCATGCACCAGCAGGAGGCGCTGCAGGTAACGGAACTGAGCAAAGGCATAGTCGCTGGACATGACGGCCTGCATTCCTTCCTGACCACTGATTCCGACGCCGATGTCTGCAGCTGGATATTCCGAGAACAGCGACAGGATGTGTTCAGAGATGGAAAAACTGGAATGTTGGGCTCAGATAATCATTTATGTTACTTACTTTTGATCATGTTCACATCGTTGGCTCCGTCTCCAATGGACAAAGTCACTGCCTTTTTGTACTTCTTTACCAAACTGACCACATTGGCCTTCTGCTTTGGCGTGACGCGACAGCAGATGACCGCTTCACACTCGCATGCCATGTCCACGAAGTCGATCTGTGGACACCAGGACTTTTGTTATCCCTACAGACAATACCAGAACAGACCAGTGCTGAGAGTCACGTTGATGTCACCGTACCTGTCTCATCTCCTTTTCCCAGTCGTTGCAAGGCTGTGGGTCCTGAGGGTTGGTAATAGGTGGTCGCTTCCCGAGACGACGGAGACGCAGACGGCGACGCTTCTTCTTCTTCTCGTACAGAATCTCATTCTGAAGAAGTGTAAAAAAATAAACAAATCAAGAAATTAAGCTAAATAGACTTTTCATTGATAAAAAAAAACAACAACAACAACAACAAATTACCAGCCATCCTCCAGTGATGATGAGAGCGTTTTTGCCTCCGTCTGTGAAGAAAGGCTCCGCTGGTTTCTTTTTGCTTGGATGGGAGGTGAATGCCTCGCTTCTTCTGTTGGCCTGACGAACCACGAGCTTCTCACTGACGTCAAACGCACAAATGTCAGTCACAACAATAAGATTCGCCTGTTCTGTCAAAAAGTAACTCAAGGAAATAGAAACTAAACCCACTTGACGTCTTCTCCATAGTGAATCTGCATGTCGTCGGTCAGGAGTGAACAAGCGTATCCAATGTTTTCAGCCGTTTCTTCAGGATAAAACATTAAAAGTAATCATGAAGAAGAGTATCTTTGCCATTCATATTTCATGACTCATCAAAGGTGAATCCAGAGTGAGTCTGGTGCATCGTCAGATAACGTGGTACCTTTCTTATCTCCAGTCAGGACCCAGATCTTAATGCCTGCCTTTGCCAGCGTTGCAATGGTTTCTGGGACCCCTTCCTGCAGTTTGTCCTCAATGGCCGTCGCCCCAATTAACTGAAAAGAGGAATAAATTAAGTTTGATTTTAAGTGAGATTTTATTAACTATAGAACTTTTTCTAAGATGGACTATATATACGGATAAATATTCAAATCAAAGACAGACTTATCAGATTCCAAACAAAAAAAAAAACACAAAACAAATGCAAAAAGTCTCAGTCAATAGTTTTAGACGTTGTATACTGAATCAAAAAAACAAAAAAAACAAAACACAAAACAAATGCCCTTCAATTTTAAGTGAAGTCAAATAAAAATCTTTTTTCAAGAGTCTCAGTCAATAGTTTTAGAGATTGTATATTGAATCGTTACATTAGTTAAGATAAGTATGATTCAACTGAAGGGAAACTATAGTACAGTGGGTGATGACAAACAATGGTTTCTTTCAGTTGGGGAAAGTTTCTTAGTCCGTTCAATGAATGGGAAAATAAAACAGACAGTTGTCTGTAATGAGATATTTTCTGAATAAAATTGAAATTGTTTTATTTAATTTTATGTTTCACAAATTCAGTAATGTAATTCTGAGTGGCTTTCTTTACAACACTCAAAATTTAGTTTTTTAGGCAATTTAGCATAATAGCCAGGTCAACTAGCCATCACAGTAACCAGGCTAACAGGCTAAAATGTTTAAACAAATTAAACGATTGTTATGTAGATCTGCACTTTCACCTTTAGAAATTGCACACAAAAAGTGTTTTTAACAGTCGTGGTGGCCATCTTGGATTTTGAAATCAGGCCATAGCCAAGTGGTTAGAAAATCTTAAATCATTGATTTGTTTTGACCAGACAAGTATAACAGCTTCAAAATGACAAAAGTCAAAATGTTCTCACCATGAGATCCTTCTCAATTTCCTCATAGACATGATCAAGAGCAGCATCCCGGTCGACCATGGTCACTTGGGCTTCTTTGTGCTTCCTGGACCAGGCGTCAAACTCAGCCTGACTGATGTCTTTATAACACAAGCACAGCGTCCGCAGGGTCTCATTGGCAAATTCCTGGGACACAAATATCGAGACTTTATTTCTTTAACAGTGAAAGTTGCACTGTGAACTGAAAAAAAAAAAAAAGAAAAAAAAACCCTTGTACTTACATCCAGTGCAGTTTGGGTGGTCTCTTTGTATTTAGAGTTTGGGGAGAGTCGTTCATAGATAACAGTGTCGGCTCCTTTACAGTAGAGACGGATTCTTCCATCAGGAAACTTCACTGTTAGTTGTGAGAAACATACAGGGATATTTAAATAAAAAAAAAGGACCAATTTATCACCACTACCTTTCTGCAGAGGACAGTCAAGGTTTGATGTTACAGCTAGAGACATCTGCTTAAACAAAATGGGAACAACACCACAACAGAACATAAACAGAGTTTTAACAGCTCCTGTATAACCAACTGACGCTTCAACGTGACAGGCCTCAAACACCTCTGAACTTTAGCTACCGTTCTCTCTATCACTCTCCCTAGTATAACACACAGTAGCCTACCAGAAAAGTCATTGATCGCTAGCGCTATGAACTAAATAAATCAATTAGCTGCATCACTGTTTAAGCCGTAGGGTTCAAAGCGTGTGAAAAAGTAGCGACTCATAGTCCGGAAACTACGGTACTTCAGTGAATTTGAACATGTGATTTCAAATACAAAGGACTTCTTAGCTAACCATGCTAGTAATAACGGAAGTATAGTGAATTACCAACCTTTACATACTGTAGCAAGATGTAAAATTGCAGATTTTCTCTATGGATTTTTGGTAAAAGAGAGTAAACGTTTTGCAAAGCTAAAAGAAACGTTAGCTGTCAAACAGTAACATAGATGATCCAGCTACATCAAGGCTCGTTTTTTGAACAAGCCAGTGCTAGTTCTTTTGGTAGCACATGTGCTACAGTGTGCGTTGTTTACGTACAGATGATGGACATGCGTTTGCGGTCAGAGTTGAAGTCGAGCAGCGCCAACATATGGTACGTGTTCTCCTGATCCATCTCCCTGATGGTGATGGTGTCCTGGGTACGAGACAAGAACACGTAGCCGAAGTTCCTGGCGGCTGTCACCAGAGCGCCCTCGTCTGGAGACGCTGCCTGGTAAATCAAATCGCCTGAGAAGAAGACGGCACATGTCACCGTCTCCACCTATTATCTTATGTCAAATGAGAAGATCACAGTTGCACGGAGAGCTGAAGTGAACGGCTGTGTGCTAGTATGGCTACCGTCTTTGTGCTCCACCATGACGGTGTGACAGAGGGAGAGCAGTTTGAAGAACTCCAGCGCTTCCTTGTCCTTCAGGGATCGGACAACTGCCACCAGTGAATGATCCATGAACTGGAATTTTTTGTCAGCTAGATGATTCCAGGTCCAGTCCACAGGCTGAGGGTAAACGACAAATATGGTGATGACATGAAAAGAGCTTGAATCAGTGGTGTCACGTTACATATAACAATCCTTTTGTTTTGAAAAGAAACAATTCATGTTTTACCCGTCCTCGATCCAGTGTCACTCCTTCAGCAGTGGTGGGGTTACCTGAAGAAAGGAGACAGTGAGAGTGAGCAAATCCACCAGTAATGTAAGTCATATACTGTATGAGTAAAAGTCCTCGGTACCATAACTGCGCTCGGCAATGGTGCACTTCTTAAACTGCATGACGTTCTGTGTCAAAGTTCCCGTCTTGTCAGAGAAGATGTACTCGATCTGGCCGAGCTGCTCGTTCAGTGTGGTGGTTCGAGCCTGCGCAGAGATGGAGATCGATTTTAAACATTGGTTTGACCTGATGTCGCTGTTTGGGAATATTCTGTCAGCGCAGACCAAAAAACACTGGCTGAACCCTCCTCCATATATTTTACTTGATTTTTAGTTGAAAATAGTTATTTTTATTTTTTTTCCTACATTAAATAATTAACAATCATTTTTTTTAAATTAAGCATCACCGATGCTCACAGATGCAGGCGACTGACGAATGGTATCTATCTCTGTATTAATACAATGACAATTGGGGCGGGGCTTAGGCTGCTGTAGCCCTTCGCATAAAAAGGGAAGTACAACATTTATATGAAGAGTTTTTAGTATAAATCTCTACAGGGTCACCACTTTAAATTAGGTCTTGATCATCATCAGAGTACTTCAAGTATTACGTATCACTTAAATACAATATGCTGTGAAACCACTGTAAAAAGTATCTTATTGTATAAAGTGTTTTTGGTAATATTGCAGTACATTTCAAACACTGTACTTGTATAGTTTTCTACTCTTTCCAGTCCTTATAGCCACCTAAATACAGGTTTTGCCATGGACCTGGTGAGATGTACGTATGTGACCCACTATGCCTACAAGCGTTTGGGTGTAAACAACTGCAGTACCTATTGAATTACTGTACACCTTACACCCCTCCTATCCCAAACCAGTCAGCTTCCAAGCTTTCTCTCAGTTAGATGTAGACTGACATGGAGGCTTCATTTATAGCACAACAACAATAAATAGGCTTCTGTGGTGTAGTCAATTCAAGATGTGTTTTGGTAGGGGGAAACAAGAACAGTGAACAGTAAAAACAGAAGCAGGAGTGTACCTTCGCTGGGGTGTCTTTCTCTGCAAAATACATCTGCAGGTCCCAGTTGATGAACTTGCTCTGGCCCAAACGGATCACCTCCACACTGCACATAAAGAAGTCAACAGAGTGAGGATGGAGTTTTGAGTAAATCAGCCCTCTGCATCTACATCCCCATGAACCAGGTGCAGAGGTCGATCAAGGACTGATGAGAACGGAAGACAACTAGGGAATTAACATAGAGTTTCACAACATTCAGGAGGAACACATTTACCTACAGTACGCAAATGTTGTGACATCGCTGTTTTGTTTTTGTGCGTGTCCGTGTTTCTTAAAACAACTGCGCGTTTGCTGACAGTCTGAAACCTAGGGTTCAAATGAGGTAATTGCTATACAGTGTTCCTACTTCAATGGCAGTGGTTGTGTTCTAAGACGCAATGCGCAAAGGGCAAATCCACTAAAGTAGAGATTGGAATTAAAAACAATCGAGCGAATGCAGAACCACGATACAGAGCGGGGACATTGTATTTTTCTTTTCTTGTACCAAGTTCATTGTCATAAAAAACGTTTACGAATCTACGAATTCTGCTTAAACACCAATGCTGAAGACAACCAGAGGAAGAAGAGAACGAGAATGAGACAGTTTTCACAAACCTGACATAGAGTGAAATGGGCACCATGGTGTTTAGGACAATGATGTAACCCCAGAAACTGAGGAACCCTCTGTAAGAGGAACTCTGATTTTTGCCGTCGTACAAATACCACGCCTTGGAACCAATCTCCTCATACCAGAAGCTGTGACCGATGGCCAGACCAGCCGCCACCAGGATGAGCAGAGCAAAGATCTGCAAGGAGGCGAGAAGGGAAATTAAATATGAGACGTTCATTTCAATAGGTTTCACTCTTCGTCTTAGTGTAAGTGACTGCCATTCCCAAACTTTTTGGGAAGCGTCCCCCAAGTCAGCAGGTCACAGCCATGAATTAAATCCTCACTATCTTACTGATTACTATTTAATAGATGAAAATGATAACTTACTACACTAGATATTTGATTGATTTCAGATTTTTTTTTACCGTTATGATCAGGACTATTACTGATTATTACTACTAATATTGTTATGATTTTTGAAATTAAGTAAATTAAATTAAATTTGAATTAAACTTTAGGTTACATTGTGCAAAAAATAAGTAAGGTAATTTGGTATGACTAATGTTATGGAAATATGGAATTATAATGTTATAGAAAGGTGTTGAACGGCCAGTATTAGTCAGTGTTTTATTTGGGTTTAAAATAATAAAAAATAAAAATAAAAAAATCACAGTTTTTTGACACGTGTTAGACATCAGTGACAAAAACACAGATTGTTAGCCTTATTCCAGACATTTCATTCATCACCTGAACCAAAAAAACAAAAAGACAAAAACCCAAAACACTTGACCCAAATCAAGTTCTGACATGAACTCACTGTGTAGACCATGTAGTTCATTAGCTCGTCAATTTTGGTTCGCTTGAACCTGGTCTTCCCTCCGTTCCTCATGATTTTAGT